TACTTCCTCCTCTGTAAAATACGATTCTATTACCTTACAGGAAAACTTACTCATGCATCTAAAAATAAACAACATGGTACATAGCATAAGCAGCAAAAAATTCACAGCAACAATAAAACAGTACTAAACAAACAAGTCAATGAAAGCACCTCTGGTAAGGAACTTTGGAGTAAATACAAAGCTAATAGAGATAGAGATAAATTAAAAAATATCTATATAGTTTAACCTGAAAGAAAATGTAAATTAGCTTCAGGAATTTTAATCTGGAGACAGAAAGATACCTATTCACTCAAGACAAAAAATGCTTTTCTCTTAAAATGTCAAAATACTTGGCACCTGTGATTCCCCCATGATAATGCCTTTCTCCAAAATCTATTGATGTTTTACACATATGCATTTAGAGCCAGAAACTCCTAGAAAACATCTGGACTGAAGTAAAGGAGGAATGATGGTAACGTACTATACAAGAAGATGAATCTCCACAGTTAAAGGAATAAAGATAAATATGAGAATAGGAAGAAGACTATGAATTCAAAATATGCAGCTGACTATAAAATTCACATTCATTCAGAAAAACCAAAGATTCAGAATGCATGTTGTGGAAAGGATTATGATTAGTAAAGCAGAGTTTCTAGAGGTGATGTTTTCCTAGAAACCTGGAACTTCAAGAGCTGCCAAATGTACCTCATGGTAGATCTTAAAGAGAATTGTAACCATTATATAACTCAGCAGGACAATCTATATGCAAACATACTCTATACCACCATCCCCAGGAAAGTATATACACAGTAGAGGCTCTAAAATTGTTTAACCAAAAATTATTATGATCAGATAAAATCTACCTTATTCAAGATTGAGGAATATGGTTAAAAATAGTAATTAAAGCCTGAAAGCTATAGAAGAATCAGGGAAAAATAACAAAAATTAAAATGTGATTTTAAAAAAGCAAAAAGTCCAAAATCCTACTCCCCCCTCCAAAAGCAAGAATGCAAACAAAATAAGAACTCATAATGAATCAGCAAGGAATAGAAATGTAAATCAATTATATCATAAAACATACACTCAAGAATAAAAAAGATGAAAATTAGAAATATGAAGCAATGTATAAAAGAGTAATGTATAAAGATATGGAAAATAGTGCTAAGAAGAATTGGAATTAAATCTTTAAAATGGAGTTGTTATAGTGAATAATTTTATGGAAAAATTGACAATTTTACTCCCACATTGCATCCTAGAATAAATACATAGATGGAAACTAGAGGATATACCATAATGATAAAAGATACTCAATTATAATGATAAAAAGAAAAGTACTTAACATCTTAATAGAAAACATTACCACAAGTAAAAACCAAGTGGGTACCTTACAAAAGTTAACTCAGCAAAGCTATTAGACCTAAATATAAAAATGTAAAACCCAACTGTAGCTGTTCAGGAGGCTGAGATCTGAGGATCACATCTTAAAGTCAGCCCAGGCAGGAAAGTCTGTGAGACTCTCATCTTCAATTAACAACCCAAAAAAGCTGAAAGTGGAGTTATGGTTCAAAAATGGAGCTATGTTTCAAGTGGTAGAGTGCCAGCCTTGAACAAAAGAAGCTCAGGGACAGCACCTAGGCTCTGAGTTCAAGCCCCAGTACACAAAAAAATATTAAAGGGAAGAAAGTGTTAGAGATAAATAATGGTATATGAGGAATAAATTGTCACTCTACAGTGCTCATAGTTTACTGTGTACTCATGGTAATTTAAAATGTAACAGGAATTGGCTCTACTCAATGTGATTACAGGTGATGTTGATATCAAGACTTCACCCTCCAAGGACCTTAAATAGGTGCACTTTCCTATAACATTATAATCAATAGTATAAAAATAGAGTTCCCTTTTAGATTAGCCTAGGATTTGAATGGTAGTAAAAATAAACTTTAAAAAGAAATTCAATTATAAGATAACCTCACTTATTTCTAGTGACATTTAACCCAACATTGATATAATTCATCTAATTCTAGTTAAATGAATCCAAAAAGAATAAATACATGTCAAATATTTTCTTCCTACTCTCCAATCTATAAAAAGAGCTATGTTGTTGTGGAAATGTCACAATGAGCCATTACCTCTATTGTAAAACTAATGTATGTTAATATAAAATACCTCCATATGGCAAGGAGGATGAAGGAGATTTGAATACTGTTGAAAAGCATTACTTGCAGCTATCGATGTGGAACAAAAAAATCTGTTGAGGATTTTGTTGAGAAGAGAGCAAGGAGAGTGATAGAGGGGAATGAGATTGGAAAACACTATGAATGTGTGGAGCTGTAACAACAGAAATTCCTCCTGTGTAACTAACATACACTACATAAACACAGACATCTATCATTTCAGCAGTCACATTATAGGTGAATATGAAAATCTGACATGTTTGACTAACGCATCACAGATTGTGTATGTTCCTAATGAGTAAAGTGGTACATCTACAATGGTTCTATTACATAATCTGAATTAGCCTTTAAATACAACTTGAATACAATCCAAATGGATCACAGATTTGAAAGTAAAAACCAAACCATTTACATAGTAAAAGATAACAAATGAATTTTCATCATGTCATTTTTAACAAGGAGATGGCTAACTAAATTATAGTAAAACAAACACATAACTATAAAACAAAAAAAGCTCTTTGTGTCCCTATATGAAGCTATCTTCAAGATACATTGACAAGTATAATTTGATAATACATGGAACAAGAGGGGAATGTATAATAACCAGACATTTATGCTTGGATGAAGAAGAATATACAAGCTTTTGGGACACTGCTTCTTCCAAGAACAGCAAGGTACAGCCAGAGAGCTCCTGGGATGAGAGGAGGAGCCTTTTCCCTGTACATTTTTTTTATTTATTTTATATTTTTCTTTTGCACATACTAGACAATTGTCCTACCACTGAGCTATATCTATCTATAGCCTATGCAACTTTGGAATTTTAAATCACACAACTGTATTCTTTAGCTTCAAGTTTTTAAAACTAATACAATTAGTTACTATTTCACTTTCTCTTCTAGGTTTATTCACAGCAAAATCTGGACAAAATTTAATGGAATATTTCTACCTAAATAATCAAATGTTTTACATATTTACAACTTAAATAGTACTAAACTTTGTAGAAAATTACATAAGCATTGAGATAATAGTGTAATTGTTTTTTTTTTTTTTTGAGGTCCAGTCGTGGGGCCTGAACTCTGGGCCTGAGCGCTGTCCCTCAGCTCTTCAGCTCAAAGCTAGCGCTCTACCACTTGAGCTACAGCACCACTTCCAGCTTTTTTCTTTTTGCGTATGTGGTACTGAGGAATCAAACCCAGGGCCTTAGGCATGCAAGGCAAGCGCTCTGCCACTGAGCCAACTTCCCAGCCCGATAATAGTGTAATTGAAATACAATTCAAGATAAAGATTCAAAAGCAGACTCAAGGAAATATTCAGAATTCATGAGCTACATTTTAACAAAGCTGCACCATTAATTTGCACTAGCAATATTAACAGACCTCTGGCCATGGGTTATAGTTCAAATTGGAATTTGTTTTATCTGTCTAATAAAGCACTGAATGTTTTATTTATAGTTTATACATTAAATCATATCTATAAATATGCATGTATAACTTGCAAGTACAATCAAACAACACTGTTTTCATTAAATAAGGGCATATTTCCTGTAGGGTTATTTTTAAATCATATCACCTAAAAACCAATTTATACTAACAAAATTACTACTGTATGTATAGGTATGTTATATGTGTATTTTATATATATATATATCATTTTAAAGTTACAGCTGCATGTTTATTAAATTTTATCTATATCATTGATCATCATAACTACTGTATATTTTTAGTACTACTTGAAAACATAAAGCTATCTATATTAGTATCAGTGTAAAAATATTTATGTTTACTATTTAACAGTACAAAAAAGTTAAAACAGATCAACATAAGTCTGTTTCAAGTCATCTTTATATTTTACTAAAAAAAGAGCTTGAAAAGTACCACCAAAAAGGTTTTGAGGTTTCAATAACTACTTTAAAATAGAAAATGCAAGGTTATTTTTATAGTATCCAAAACTTAGTAATCAATTTTGTTAACAAAGGAATATTGAAAAAAACAAGAAATAATTCACACATATACTTTTACCTGTTTTGACAGGGTATTGGGGGAATGGTGTGTTCTAGAGATCAAACCTAAAATACTGTTCATGCTGACAGATTATTAACTCCTCTTAAGAAATAGAGGATATTTTACAATTTAATTCAGTTACACTAAATTATTTTCTGGGTGTAACATTTTCCAATTGCCAGTCTATTAAGTTTCCCATACTTTGCTTACATTAAAAAATAAAAAATAAGCCGGGCGCTGGTGGCTCACGCCTGTAATCCTAGCTACTCAGGAGGCTGAGATCTGAGGATCGTGGTTCAAAGCCAGCCCGGGCAGGAGAGACTGTGAGACTCCTATCTCCAATAAACCACCAGAAAACCAGAAGTGGTGCTGTAGCTCAAGTGGTAGCGTGCTTGCCTTGAGCTGAAGAGCTGAGGGACAGTGCCCAGGCCCAGAGTTCAAGCCCCACGACCGACAATAAATAAATAAATAAATAATGTATATATAAAATTCATATCAACACTAAGTAATTAATACATATGTATAAGAAACATTAAAAATGGTAGTAAAGCAGAAACATTAGTTTTATTTTCTAGAGACAACAGTAAGAAAACATATAAAACCATTAAGTTCTATTTTCCTATATTAATATCACTTAAAAACAGCCAAATTGAATTTTCTCCTTAAAAAAATATTTACTTGTAAAGAGACATCTGATGGCAAATCAATGCAAACTAATCCATGCAAATCAATGAAAACGAATCCAAACCAAATCTTCTGCAAAATGTGATACTTGCACTCTTATTAATTTGGTTCATGGTTTAGTGTAATAATATGTTTTTGATAGATATATTATGGTTTTACTCACTTCAATGCTTCCTCAAATTTATGGACTTTCTTTTGTGCATCTTCTTTTTCTTTTTCAAACTCACTCTGTAATTCATGAACCTGCCATGAAAAATATGTGGAATTTACTAGATAACAAAGCATATACAAAGGAGAAATTAGGACAATGAAATAGCATTTTCAAATCCACTTGTAGCATAAAATTAGACTATTTCAAGAGAAACTTGAGAGTCTTGTGGCAAGTCATGCTTGTAATCTCAGCTATTTAGGAAGCAAAGGTAAGGCTGTAATTCAAGGCTAATCCAGAAAAAATCATGAGACCCTATCCCAGAAACAAACTAAAAACAAAAGGATTTGACATGTGCCTTGGGAAAGCACAAGGCTCTGAGTTCAATCCCTAGTACTGCCAAGGAAAACAAGCACGATACAAACTTGCCCAATCATAATCATTTAGTATAAAATGATTTCAATACTATACTGCCCTTATCAATTCCTTATCCAAAGCTTAATAACTGCTTGAAATATTATTACATATGAATACCTCTTTCCTGTCTTCTCCCTCTCTCTTCTTCTCTCCTCTCCCTCCTTCTCCTTCTCTCTTCTCCCTTTCCCTCTTCTTCAGCCCTCTCTTTTTTCTCTCTTCTCTTTCATCCTTCTCCTCACCATCTCTGTCTCTATCTCAGTCTATCTGTCTATCTGCCTCTCTCTCTCTCTCTCTCTCTCTTTCGGTCTATCTATCTGCCTCTCTCTCTCTCTCTCTCTTTCAGTTCCAGTACTACAGCTTGAACCCAGGGCCTGGGAGCTGTCCCTTAGCTTTTTCTCTCAAGGCTGGCACTCCTCTACCACTTGAGCCATAGCTCTACTTCTGGCTTTTTGGTGGTTAATTAGAGGTAAGAATCACAGACATCCCTGCCAGGGGGGCTTCAAACTGAGATCCTCAGATCTCAACCTCCCACATAGCTAAAATTATAGCCATGAGCCACCAGCATCCAGCTGTAGATTCTCTTAAAAATTCAAAAAGAAACCAATCATTCTCATTCTTTAAAGTGTAGTTTAACCAAAGGAAAAGAGTCTCATAGACTGGAAAGAATGTAATAAATAGTATGTCTATATTCCCCAGTACAGAAGAGTTATGAGGAAACATTCTTCTTTTCTACTGCTGGGCATGATTTGTATACCCACTACCACCACTGAGAGGAAATCCTCCCACCATCACTGTCTCCTTTCTGAAGATAGCAAGAGCAAGCATCCTTGAGTAGGCGGGATAGAAGCACGAACGATGACAGCTAATTGGAAATGTTTCGCTAGGAATCTTGAAATATGCAAAGAAGTTTGATAGCTGATTGGGAAGGAGGGGTAAACAGCAGTCATTGTGCTACCCCTATGGCAAGTGAGGGAGCAGAGTCCAGGCAGTAAGGAAAGTCTTAACTGACAAGAACGACCTACCACAGATGTGCTGAAAACTCCAGTGAGTCTGCACATGAAATAGGTGGACAGTATGACAAAAGAGGAATGACAAAAACAACACACTCATTCACACGTACATGCACACACAGACACTCCCCTCACAATACAGTAAGCCATATTGAATACTCATTCAACTAGCCAAAAATAGCAATGTTTATCAGTTTGATGGGGACCTATGGAACTCAAATCTTTTATAGTCCTTGGTCATTTCTTTTGTAGTTTCTTTTTGTAGTTTTCCTTTGTCACTGCTATTTATTTTACTTTATATGGGGGGGGAGTGTTTGTCATTAAAACATTTGTCAGATTTAAAACTTAAATCACTTCCATATTCCATTTGGATTCTCTTAGCACATACTACATTACTTGATACATAGTAAGCATGTACACTGAAATACAAACATGACCTAAATTACATGAGCACCAATCTAATATAAATGTAGTCTAACAAAATAATGACCATAATTATGTAAATGTAGAAAATTTACCATTATATGGCCTGATGTATAGAATTAAAGATAAAAAGTCCAAAATGGAACTCAAAGATGGCCCAATATAAAGATTTTGCAGGGCTGATCTCATGTGAAGATTTTGCAAACTTGTTTTATGCCTGTATATCCTTTCTTGAAATAAAATCTTGCCTGGCTGGTTTTTCAACACTGATGGCTAGAGTAGTACAGTGAGTATCCTAGTCTTGTTGCTGATCTTCCAGGATAATCTTTCACCATTTCTCCATGGAACATAATTTCTGCTGTGGGTTTATTACATATGGCCTTTATTATGTTGAGGTGCATTCTATGTAACCTGTTGAAATTTTTAATCATGAAAGGCTGCTGTATTTTGTAAAAGGCTTTTTTTCTGTATTTATTGAAACTGTGAGATTTTTAATCTTAATTTTGTGATGTATTATATTTATTGATTTGCAGACGTTAAAGAATTCAGGGGATAAATGCCATTTGATCAGAATGTCTGATCTATAATGCTGCTGAATTGTTATGGTGTTTTGTTGTGGGTCAGACATATTGGCCTGTATTTTTTTTTCTCTTGTTCTATCTAGAGATAGTTCTTACTTTCACCACTGACAGTATAAAGATTACACTAATTTTCAAACCTCTATTTCTCTAATATTCAGCAATTGAAAAATTAATTCCCACTAGAGTGATTCTTTCCAAATCACTTAGTACATGTTTACTTTTCCTACTGGTTATCTTTTTTCTTGTACACAATCTAAAAATATGACCCAGGACGTATTTTTAGTTTTTAAATTTTACATACTTTTCTTTCAATAATATCTTGTGGCATTTGCATTCTTTATCATGTCATATACACAATAACATTTAAATTCACCTGTTTTGATCATTTTAGTATCAATATCTTTCCTTTTTCATCTTGAATATTTTTAATTTGGATTTTTGATTATTCTTATTCTTAAGTAGGTTAGTATCTTATCTAGTAACATTATTTCTCAAAGAGAACATCTTAGTGACATGTCTTCTGGGACTTTGCATATCAAGTAATGTCATTCTATTGCCTTCACACATGAAAGAAATCTTGTGCAAAAATATTCTTATGATAGATTTTGGCCCCCAAACACATGACACAATGCTATTTTAATGACATTTAAATTTATGACTAATAAGATTAACATCTAAGTTTTGTTCTTCCCTTTCCCTCATTTGAACCCACAAAAATCTTTTTATTATAATTCAAATGTTTCTTCAATCTTTTTTTATTTTATCCAGTAAAAGGTGAATCACAGATGTACACATACAAACCTCCAGAAGAGTTTTAATTGGAGTTAATTTTCTTCTGAGACCTCTTTCCATTTTTATATATTGTTTTTCTATTTTCTACTTATCATCTCTTCCAAAATTTTGTATTCTTTATCTTTTCCTTTGCAATGTGAAAGGTAATTATGTTTTATTTTCATATAATTAATTCAGTTGTTTACATCTCATCTATCATTGCAGCTTCCATGTCCATTTTAAATCTTCTGTTGTGCTTTTAGTTTCTTTCCAGCTCTTATGGCAACTGCCACCATTTTCCTGTTGTCCTTTTCTTTCCTTATGATATGTTTCTCCTACAGACAGATCTGCTTGCATTCTGCAATGAATTTCTTGCCATTTTCTTCTGGAGTAATGGATTTTCAGAAGAAACATTCTTTACCTGAGTCTTCCATATTATGCATTTAGTCTTTTGCTTTACATCATTTTCCAACAGACCCCATTTGGCTTTTACCACCTACTCTCCCTTGAACCGTGTTCACCATTCAGATATGATACTAGACCAAAAGTATAGTGGGTATAAGCTTGCTTCTATTACATGTCTCTCAGCACTGTTTCCTTCTCAGAGCTACAGTTAAAACCCAGCTCCCTGGACAATTCCCAAGGGAGTTTTAACTGGATTATCCTGCAGGTTTGATTCTCTGGTGCACTGAGATACCTTTACATGCAAAAATAACAGGGAACTGCTATCAGAGTGACTGACAAATCAGTAGTATTCTACACACTGAAACTGTACCTCTAATGTACAATACTATCATTACTTTCCCTCTATTTACTGTCTAGTATATTTTTCTAGGACTCAATTCTCTGCATGACAATTGAGATTTATCCCTTTAAACGAAACATTTAAAAATCAATCATTCTGAGGAAAATCTATGTAAAACTGAATGGCAAGTAGGAATCAAATGTCTGGAATCATACTTACTAGATTTGCATCACTACCCCATCAGTTGCTTATTGTAAAAAATTGGATATAATAGTAAGTATATCAGAGTTATTATAAAGTAATGAATTACTCTAGGTAGAGTTCTTCATATAATACTGTGAACATGACAAGTGCCTTTGTTTTTCTCCTACTATATTTTTACTGTATGCTGAAGATTCTTTTCAGATTATGTTTTTATTTTGACCTATATTTTAGACAGATGTGGTAGTGGATAGTTAACTATTATATACATAAGAAATCTTTGCATAGTATTTTGATCTCAGTAAAAAGGGACTACCAATCAATATTGTTGTTAGGTTAAAAATACTTGTTTTGAACTTTACAACTTTGGTGTGGGGGTGGCGGGGAGGATTCGGTGGGGGTTGGGGGGAGGATGGGAAGGGGAAACAAAGGAGGAGGCTACAATGCTTGATAAAAAAATGTACTCATTATCTTGCTCATGTAATTGTAACCCCTCTGTACAGTATGTTCACAATAAAAAAAGTAGAAAGAAAAAAAGGAAAAAAATACTTGTTTTTTAGGATACCATGGTTCATGTCTATAATCCTACCTCCTTAGGAAGCATAGATTGGGAGAATAGAGATTTATAAAGAGCCAGGGCAGACAACTGAGACCCTTTCTCAATAAATAGTTGGGAATTTTGGCACAAGCCTGTCTTCTGAGCTAGTTCTCATGCTGAACTAGGCAGTCTGTGGCCAAGGGAGTACATGGGAAGGAAGCAAGATCCTATCTCAAAATAATCAGTATAACAAAAAAGGTCTGGAGGTATGGCTCAGTGGTAGATCACCTGCCTAGCAAGCAAGAAACCTTGAGTTGTAATCCTAAAATTTCTCACACAAATTATTTATTTTTATATAAAATAAAACAACTCAGAAAGATGTAATATTATTGTTCAACCTCTCCTTTTTATGTGTTTATTTTGTATAGGACAGAGTCTTGAAATGCTGCCAATGGTAAAGAGAATAAGGCTGGTTATAATTTATTTTTTCCCAGTATATATTAATACCAAAAATGACTTTGAAAGTGTTAATAATGAAAATATAAAACAAATATTTAAAGATACATAATAAATTGTCAGAAATGAGATCTGATAAAAATAAATAACTGATTTAGGTATCCATAAGCACATTTATTAATCATTGTTTTACATTTTTTACTGTCTTCTATTGGAGAAAAGGACCTAGGCTAGCCATCACCTGGGTTAGATAGCACTACAATCCCAGCTACTCAAAGAGGCTGAGATCTGAGGATCTCAGTTTAATTACAGCTAGGATAGACAAATCCAAGAGAATCATCACCACTGAACCAACAAAAAGTCAGAACTGGATGCCTGGTTCAAGTGATAAAGGACCAGTTATGAGGAAAAATGCCAGACCAGAGGAAAGAAGGCTTTGAGTTCAAACCACAGTACTGGGATACATGCACATACCCTCTTCACTCTCCTCTCCTCTCCTCTCCTCTCCTCTCCTCTCCTCTCCCCTCCCCTCCCTTCTTTTCCCCTCCCCTCTCCTCTCTCCTCTCTCTCTCTCTCTCTCTCTCTCTCTCATACACTCCACAAGGACTTAATAGAAGAAACTGTGCTAAAAATATCAGAAACTAGATATACAGTAGCAGACATGATAGCATGGGAAAGAACACCAAATCTGGTGCTACACCAAACATCAAGTAGCTAAACAACTCCCTCCATATCTTGAAATCACTCTAATCTAGCTTCTCAATATAAAAAATATGGCACATCAGATTGCATTCTCTTTCTAAATCTGTTGCACAATTCCATTTTTATAAAACCTTAGGAACGCACATATCCTACTAATGAATAATCATATCTATAATAGTTAGAAATAGTGTCCAACATGTTAGCTGTAAAGGCTTAGAAATTTAAAATTATTATAAACATAATTAAAAGAAATACATATGCCAGGCACAGAATGACTGTATTTAAGTTGTTTAAAACCCCATCATAATTCACATTATATCTGTCTAGTAGTAATGTTGGAATGATTTTAAGTAACTAACTCTGTTCCAGCATTCTTAGATAGTACATGTTTCGCATCTGCCTCATTTAACTTCTTTAGATAAACAGCACCATCTTTTATTCTCCAGTGTCTGTTCGGAAAACAGTGATAGGTTATTTGTAGGAGGCAGGTGTTTCCTTGCTAGTAAAATCAGTTAGTCTAACCATTTCCTGATTTAATAGATTAAGAACGTTCATTAAACAATGATATTTAGTTTTACTACCTTTTATCTGTTTGACGTTCAAAGGTCTTGAAAGCAAGCAACAGCCACCAGAGATCAATAAAGGCCATTAGATAGTATGTGTGTGCTTAAATTAGGGATAGCATCTGATGCTGTTTCTTTTACCTCCCATTCTGCTGCTTTTGAATTGGCATGAGGAATATAATGTCATTCAGATGGCACTTCCTCCTCCTGAACAGATATGCGGAACCAAAGGTGTGTGCACACCTGTAATGTTGTCTCACAAACAAAAGCCCTACACATCCCATTTAGCTATCCAGTTACACAGTCCAAGACTATGTAAGATTTATGTCAGCTATTTGAGCAGTTAAAAAGGATATTCCCTGAGGGGGGGCGGGTACAAGACATCAAATCTTCAAGGCTTGAGATCACAGCAGGTTTAATAAGGAAAGAACAGATGTCAATTTAAAAGTGAGAGATTGTGGCATGCTGAGTAACATTTTCTTCCAATATAAATAATGTTAGAAACAGATGCAATGTGAACACATATGGTTATTCTTTCAACGATTGTTATTACTGTAAACAAGTCTTATTTACACTAAAAACAATTAATACACTTTATTATAAAGCTAAGCCATTGATAGGTAGCTAATGGAAAGAGAACAGCTGCCGTTAGGATGCCTAATAAAGAAGATTCTTCTTTGCTCCCTGAAGTGAGCTAAAATAGGAGTGGTCAGCAGGTTACTGGAGAAAGATGAACTGAACTCTCCATTCCCTTCCTGGTGGATACTCACTGGAGAGACGGACTGATAGCACAAGCGTAATTTACTTAGTAGTAAATACCCAAGGAAAGATAGTAGTAAGAGAAAAGATTGTCAATGCAGGTCTATCTCTCTATTTAACAGTAGGACTTAAAGATCAGGAGAGGAATATATTCTTTCATGGTTAGTAAGTACCTTCTCCTTGGCACCAGCCTATCTGTCTCACAGGTACACAGATAGCACCACTCAGGAAGGCTGACCACGGAGTGTAATAGAGCAGGAGAGTGAGGTACTCTGTAGCACAATGAACAATGGACCAGCAAGTATACCCAGAGTATCCAGATGCCTTCCTTACAGTAGGCAGTGAGGCTTAGGTAATGCTCTTCTTTGGGTACATAAAATAATAAGAAAGCTGCACATCTCGGCAGTAAAAAACTAAAAAAAACTTCTTTATTTCAATAAAACCATTATTTCCCTTCCTGTTTATGTATCAATGCATTGAGCTGTATTAATACTGCAGAAGTAGGAAAATCATAATCATGTATAAGTTGTTATGTGTAAGGAGAAATATAGCTCTAAATAACAGCCTTCCTCCACATCGCTTGGATGTACTAAGCTCTTGGAGGGCAATGTCTAATTCTCCTTAAGCTTACCTTGTACCTAATACAATATCTTACCCAATATAAGAAATTAATGGGTAGCTACTGTGTGACTACATGAATAGATAAAATGTGGTTTAAGAATGCTGTGATACAGGGTTAGGGATTTAGCTCACTGGAAGGGTACTTGCTTGGCAAGTGCAAGGCCCACAGTTCAGTCCTCAGCTTTGAAAAAAAAAAAAAGCTAAAAAGAATGCTGTGATAAAGCCAGGTGTTGGTGGCTCATGCCTGTTAGCTACTCAGGAGGCTGAGATCTGAGGATCACTTCAAAAATAGCCCTGGCCACAAAAGAAAGTCAGCCATAAAACTTTTATTTTTACTACTATTTTATTCTCTGTGTCTCACAGTAAGTTCAGAACTGAAGTGTCAGTCACAAAAATATAGACTGCTGTACTTTGCTGCATAACAAGTTACTGTCCCTTAGTTATTACTGGTAACAGGTATTAACATGTCAGTAGAAATATACACAATTCTAAATGACAAGAAAAAATCATTACTCAAGTAGCAGTCAATTCCTCTACTCTTTTTACGTTCTTTGCTTAAATAGTCAAAGTTCTTATTGCAAAATTACAAAATACTTCCTACTGTAGTATATTTTTAAATTCATAGAAAAAAGATATAATTCAAGGTGTTTTAATCAGAGGTTACGATAATAATCCTTGGAGAATAAAGTAATAATATTCAGTGTACATATATAAAAACGAAGCCAGGTAGCTTGAGGGGATGGGTGTGGTTGAGAATGATAGAAGGGGATGATATTGATCAATGATACATTGTACTCATAAACTGATACATTGAATTGAGAGCACTTTGTAGAACTATCTAAAGATAATTAAACCTTCAAGATAATAATAGTTTTTCACTGATTAAATATAATACATAAGTTGTGTTTCAATGTTGAATAGTAATTGAAGAAACTTCAAAAATATGAAAAGTATTTTGACTACTGACATTAACTTAAAAACAGACCACTCAAGAGTTAGAATATAGGACTTCATAAAAATCAGCCCATTACTTGCATCATTTTTTATTTTAACTGTTTTATAATTTCTCCCAAAGTATATTACCTTTTTTTCATAGGTGTGTTTTAAATTATTTTTCTCCATTTGAAACTTGCTTTCTTGATCCTGTAAATAATAAAATGTTTATTTTATTACATTTTTAAGTTGCTACTAAAATTAGTGATTCAATGAAATCATTAAATGTATTTGGTGTCAAACTTTAGAGTTTTGCTTTGGGGGGACTGGGAAGGGGAGACTGAACTCAGGACCTTGTGCATGCTAGGAAGACAACACAGAAGCCTCACCATCAGTCCTTTTTATGTGCTGTTTATTTTGAGAAAGTCTCTCTCTGCCTGGGCCAGCCTGGACTACAGTTCTCCTATATGTACTTCTCTACCTTGCTGGGATAACAGGCATGCACCACTGTGAATAGCCACTGGGCTCCCCTGAATAATTAGGTAAATGCATGCCACCATACCCAACCACATCAACTTTTAAGGACAGGCTGGCCTCCAACCACAATTCCTCGATTACCCTTCACAAGAAGCTAGGGATACAGACTTGAACCAGCAATGTTATGTTTTGATATTATTGAAAAGGCCTTACCCATCTAATTTTCTAAGCCACAAGCAGAAACTTGAATTTATATTACAAGGCAAAAAAACTCAGTTATCTCAAGATATCACTGTTCTCAAAAGTATCTATTCTATAGTGTGAGAGGATCTTTCTGATCTTTGGATTAAGTGATTAAGAATGGCCAAGTCAGTAAGAAAATGATAAATTTTAAGTTAAATCATATACTAGTCTTTGATAGACTTTGACCATAAAGAAAAGGATAAGAAAAAGAGAGAGAAGAAAAAAGAGATAATGAAGATTATCAGATAGTTTAAAAGGGGGAAACTATTTTAAAATAAAATGCTTAGGTAAAATTCATTTTTGTAAAAATTAATCTCTAAAAAGGAGATCATCTTAAAATTATTGTCCTTCATTCTATACATGTTATTCGTATCTACGCTTGTCAGTTATAATAAGTAAAAGGAAAAACTATACAATGCAAAAAATAGAATCAGGAATGGCTACCTACAGAAGTGCTACTTCTGAATGCCTACTAATATAGAATTTAAAAAGGCAAGGTGAGTTTGAAGCATTGTTCTGTCTAAAAATAAGACTCACAATGATCTGCTGCTTCCTTTGAAGTTCTGATTCCTGTACCTGCTGCCTTAATTGACAGATATTTTGTTCTAATTCTTCAATCATACCAGATGTCTAGAAAAACATAAAGAGGAATAAAAAGTAGAATATTGATTTTTGTAACATTTTGTAACTTCTGGATTAAAAAACTACATTTTTTTCTCCTGAACATTCAATCAGAATCTCTCAATGAATGAAAACATTTTTAAAAGATAAAAGTAACCTTCTGAAGTAAAAATGTAAATGTATAGTAAGTTATGGCACATAGTATTATTATAAAAATAATCAGTTTATAGGAAAATTTTTAAATTTTAAAACTTAGGTAGAACCAATACTTTGAAATAAAATAATATATACAATTAATCTAATAATGTATTATTTTAAAACTAAAATATTCTCAAAATTCATGTTTCCCTTCTTTAAAACCTTTGTAACTTAAATGGGTTAACTTATAGCAGGATTTAGTTTATCAAATAATTATGTTATTCTGCCAACTGAACAATTAGCATTTTTAACATTTTAAATATCAAGAAAACATTTGAAAGAAATTGGAGACCAATTTTTTCAGTGCCAAATAACTAGCCTCTACATTGCTGTCTATGCTAAAGCTGAGCAAAATGAATGACTACTTTGTGTGGATGATCTGTCAGGACATACCTTAGAAGTTGAGAGGGAATGTTCTTGTTTCAAGAGGTTCATATCAGTATCATGTTTGATTTGTAATAGTTTCATATTTTGCTCATAATCATTTACAAGATGCTCTTTTTCTTCATGAAGTATGTTGTGCCTAAAAGCAATAAGATTTAAAAAAACAGAATCCTAATACTTTAGAACCAGTCTATCTGGTTGATAGTTGATAGCTATTTAGTTGTTTTCTTGTTTTATCAACCTGAACTATATAACAACTAAATCCAAACACATTATCTTTCAATATATCAAATAGGTATACACATTTTTATCAACTGTTGGCAAACATTGTATCTCATACTTAAACTGGACTTCAAAGTATAAATAGTTAGAACATTCCAGATATTAAATGCACACAATATGATTCATTTTTCCAAATAATCTATAGAGAAATTTCAGTACTTTATTAACTACACCAATAGATACCTGGTTGCAGACAATACCTTGCCTTTAGTTCTTGTAATTCACTACGTGTTATCTGATAACATCTTTCAAGTTCCATTTTATCTTGAATTAATTTCTGCTTCTGTAAATTACTGTTCTCTGCTTCTCCAGTCAGCTGCTGCACACGGGCTTCCAGCTCTTTTACCACATGGTTCTGAAAAAAAAATAACTCATTCTCAGGAAAGCCTCTCACTGATTCCTAACACTTTTTGTGTTAGGAATATCACTGTTATACTTGCTTACCCTTTGTCCCACCATTTATGTGCCTCCTTTGTACTCCCAAAGACAGGTAAGCAAACAAACAAGACAAAAGGAAATGAAAACAGAAGCATCAACAAAGAAGGAAAAACCCTCATTTCTAGTTCCTGGAGTTCATTTTGATAAATACTATTTTATATGATCAGTTGCACATTGCTATTGCACCTTTGTGATCCTCTCCTAAGAATATTCCCCTTTGGTTTCATTGTATGTATGCCTAGAGATCTGTATAATTCATGGGGTCCCAGTGTATTTCTTTTTCTTTTACCATCCAGTGTGTTTACCTATAGATCTATAGGCACATTCTACTTACTACAAATGAAGGAAACCATGCAACCTATGTTTCTCTGGGCCTGGCTTACTTCACTTAATATAAGTTTTTCCAAGTCTTTCCATTTCCTTACAAATAGTACAATATGATTCTTTGTAATGGATGAGTAGAATTCCATTGGGTATATCTACTACATTTTCTTGATCCACTGAGGGGCATCTGGGTTGCTTCCATATCTTGTCTATGGTAAACAATGCTGCACTGAACATAGTTGTGCTGGTAACCTTAGTGTGGCCTTGTTTGTGTTCCTTTGGATAAATGCCCAGGAGTGAAATTGCTGGGTCATAGAGAAGGTCTATCTTTAGTCTTTTAAGGAACATCCATACTGCATTCCAGAGTGGTTGAACAAGTTTACATTTCCACCAACAGTGTACTAGAAGTTCCCTTTTGGCCACATCCCCACTAGTATTTGTTATTGTTAGTTTCCTTGATAATGGACATTCTAACTGGGGTGAGGTAAAATCTCAACTATTCATTAGTTTAGATTTGTAAGGTAAGTTCTTGCTTACTTGACTTCTTTTATTTGAAGTTTGGAAAAGGTTTTTTAAAATTATAGGAGCAATGAAATGTTTTCAAAAATAAAACCCAGGGAGAGGGCTATGTAACTGTAACTTATGTAACTGTAACACCTCTGTATATCACCTTTACAATAAAAAAATTAAAAACTATATTATTCACCATAGCTAAGATATGGAACCAACCCAGATGCCCCTCAGTAGATGAACAGATCAAGAAAATGTGGTATATATACACAATGGAATTCTATGCCTCCATCAGAAAGAATGACATTGCCCCATTTGTTAGGAAATGGAAAGACTTGGAAAAAATTATATTAAGTGAAGTAAGCCAGGCCCAAAGAAACATAGGTCCCATGGTTTCCCTTATTTGCAATTACTAGTATATGTCTGAGTCAAGCAGAAAAGGTCAGATAAGTTGATGTTAGTGGAATGAACCCCAAGATAAGTATTCAAATGTTTTTTTGTTTTTTTTTCCTTTCATGCAATTGTTTCTATCATATTTATTTATAAGATGATTTCTATGTTGCTTTGTATGTCCCTCCTCCACAGTATAACCCATACTTTCACCGTATTTGATGTTGGTATAATTTGTGGAGGGGAAGGGAAAAAAACAAATTGTTTAACTAGGGATACAGGTGGACCCATTGCAACAATGAGATGTACAAGTCGTTATGTCGAAAAATGAACTTAACAACTTTGGTGGGGGGTGAGGTGAGGATCAGGTGGGGGGAGAGGAGGAGTATGGGAAGGAATGGGAAAGGGAAACAACAAGGAGGCAACAATGCTTGATAAGAAATGTACTTGTTATCTTGCCGATGTAATTGTAACTCCTCTGTACGGTATTCTCACAATAAAAAAATTAAAAATTAAAAAATAAAATAAAATAGCCAGGCACCCGTGGCTCACACCTGTAATACTAACTACTAAGGAGGCTAAGATCTGAGGATCGTGGTTCAAAGTCAGACCAGACAGGAAAGTCCATAAAACTCTTATCTCCAATTAATCACCAGAAAACCAGAAGTGGCACTGTGGCTCAAGTGGTAGAGCACTAGCCTTGAGTTGAAGTAGCTGAGGGACAGCGCCCAGGCCTAGAGTTCAAGCTCCGCAACCAAAAAAAAAAATAATAATAATATCAGGATCATCAGATAACTACTTATTGTTACCAAGTATACAGAAATAGTCTTTAAGTGGTTATACAAAGGAGTTGCCATTCAACAAAGTAGTTTGGGGATAACGATGCATCTTGGTCAGTGTTTGAATATTTGCACCCCTCCCCAATTCTTTTACATAGCTGCCACATTTGTGCACCAATTTTCATTCATTTCATTTAAGCATTGCTCAATTTTCCCATATTCAAATATCCCTCAACTAAATCATTTGATATTTAAGTTATTTTTATATTTTCATCTAGATTAACCACATTTTAAAATCTGGACAAAGCTACTCATGATCTTTTAGGAACTTTTTTCTTATCATAAACCCTGTTGTTTATAATAACAGTAATTATTATTGTTGTTACTATTATTATCTTTAAGTAGTTGTACAAAGGAGTTTCAGTTCAACTTGTCAGTTTGTAAGTAAAATTTACTATTAGGGTAAATAAGAATCAACAAAAGGGACAATTTAAAGCTAAACCTTCAATAAAAATTTGTGAATTATTAAGGAAGGTTAGTATGATGTTTGTTTATGCTATTTCTTTAATAATATTATAACCCCAACATTTTTTCATTGCAGTACTAAATACTAGTGTAACAACCTCCAAATCTGTAAAATGGAAGTAATTTAATGTAATTAAAACTATGGTTTATTAAAATTTTGGCTACTCTGAAGGTGATTACAAAGATACAGATTCAAGGTAAGCCTGGGCAAAAAGTTCATGAAACACTCATCTCAACCAAAAAGATTAGCACCTGTCATTCCGATATAATGGAATCATAAGTAGTAGAAATTCAGTCCAAGCTTTCCCAGGATAAATGAGAGAAATATTATTCAAAACTTATTTAAAGCATAAAGTAATGGGGGCACGGCTCAAGTGATAGAATACCTGCCTAGCAAGCATGAAGCCATGAGTTCCACACTAGTACCATGGTTTATAGATAACTTTTAAAAATAGATACCATTCCTGGCTTGGAGCCTGACAGATATCAGGTGTACAGATTCCTTCTTTATGCATTTTATGCAGTCTGCATCTTTACTAAATTTAGAAGCTCCTGTCAGAAGTTGTTTCAATTTTTCTGACACACATCCTAAACTCCTCTTATTTCCTATGTATTAATTGGCTGGAGGAAACAAAAAAAAGAATATATATTTGTATTTCCAATTTTAAATGGAAAACAAAAGCAACAGATGGAATTTCATTCCTGGTTTTGAAGAAGTAACTTGCAGTAAGGAGGAGAGGGTAGACGAGGAGGAGGGGAAGAGAGAGGGAACCTAGACCTGGATGATGAAGATGACTAGAGTTCCTACACCTAAAGGAAGAAGGAAGAAATGCAGAGAGATGGTCACCACTCTCCAAATTGCTTTTGCCTGAAAGGCATTTCCAGCTTTCTTGGGGTGGAAGATAAGACAAACCACTCACGAAGAGTGTGGCAAAAGCTAAAAGTTGATGAGCCAAGATCCCTGAGAAAAGAGATGCACAAGACAAGTAAGGTCTTTTTTGTTGTTGTTGTTTATTTGTTTGGTGCTGGTTCTATAGTTTGAACTCAGGCCCTTGGTGCTGTTCCTAGGCTTCTTTTGCTCAAGGTTAGCACTCTACTATATGAACCATAGTTTCACTTCTGGCTTTTGGGGTAGTTTATTGGAGACAAGAGTGCTATTGATTTTCCTGCCAGGGCTGGCTTTGAGCCACAATCCTCAGATCTTAGCCTCTTGAATAGCTAGAATTACAGGTATGAGCCACTAGCACCTGACTAAGGAAGTTTTTGTGTGTGTTACAAATAGAGACAAGAGAAAAGAAATTCCAAGTAGGGGCAAATATGTCCCCTCACATTATTTTTTTTGAAAATATGTTCCTTTTATACCTTATTTAAACAGAAAATAAGTATGTTATCTTTATAAAATATTAGAAACTAGCCTAACTGCTAAAGAAATAAGCCAAGGAAAAAAGGGGCTGAATTGATACAGATAAATACGTTTTGCCTAAGGAAAAAGGGTCTCATCATCCAGGAAGCCAGGCAGCCCACTTTCTTCAAAATGAATAATTGAATACAGCAAAGATGAGAGAAAGTGCACAGATAAAAGTACAAACTGTTTTTCATTAGACAAAGGAAAAAGATGAGAGGGAGAGCTATCCAACAAGTCAGAGAAGAAAGTAAGGGACACCAAAACAATACAGTGACCTCCACTGTGTGCGTGTCATTGAAATAGTCATAATGATAAAGTGAACTTGAGATTTTAACTCAGGAACTATTCAACTGATCAAAATGTATGAGATCAAAAAAGAAAGTAAATGACTATAACATGAGATATAGCTGTTCAAAAACCTAAAACCAAATTATCAGAAGTTATCTCTTTTCCTATTGGATGTCCTGGTTCTGACTTCTGGTCACTCATCCTTGAAATGTGAATGTTCAAGATGTGTACTGGCAAATATGGACAAATAACACCAAAAGACACTGATATTTATCCTCCCAAAGGAACATATGTGAGATGAGGATAACTGGAACTCTTGTGTGGCGTTTGTAAGAATGTGAAAGATCTACCCACCATAGGAACAGTTTTAAATCAAACTATCAAATGATTTAACAATTGCACTTCTGGATATTTACCAAAAAAAGCTGAAATTAGGATTTCAAAGATATTTTCACTCTCATATTCACTGCAGAATTATTCACAATAGCTAAGAGGAAAAACAATATAAATATCTACTGATGAATGATTAAAGAAAATATGATATATGTATATGCAAAGCAGTATTATTCAGTCATAAAAGAAGGAAAATACGTCATGTGATACAACTTGAATAAACCTTGAGACACATTGCTAAATGAAATAAGAGTCACAGAAGGGCAAATATGTGATTCCAATTACGTAAAATAATCCCCAGTT